GGAAGGAAGGAAGGAAGGAAGGAAGGAAGGGAAGAAGGAAGGAAGGACTTAAGGGAGAGAGGGAGGGAGGGAAGGAGGGAGGGAGGGAAGGAGGGAGGGAGGGAAGGAGGGAGGGAGGGAAGGAAGGAAGGGAGGGAGGGAGGGAGGGAGGGAGGGAGGGACTGAGGGAGAACAAAAGGAAGGACAAAGGGAAAAAAGGAAGGAAGGAGGGAGGGACTAAGAGAGTGGGAGGGAGGGAGGGAGGGAGGGAGGGAGGGAGGGAGGTAAGGAGGGAATGAAGGACCACAGGAGAGAGGGAGGGAAAGAAAGAGGAAGGAAAAGGAAGAGCAGGACAGGGCAGGGAAGGAAGGAAGAAAGAGGTCGAGAACGGAGGAGGAAAGGCACCTTGAAAAATCCATGCTCCACCAGGCTGACAAATGTGCACAGTGCAGCAGCCCACAGCTCAGAGAGCAGGGGTGAGGGACCAGGAAGGGGGTTGAGGCTTAGGAACGGGAGAGGAGCCCAGGGACTGACATGATTCCCCTGGGCCCAGCAGAGTGGTTACGAGGCAAGGCTCTGAGAGCTGGCTGCTCGGGCCTGATGCCAACCTGCAGCTCCTCTATCCCTTCTGCCAGAGGGAAGCAGCCAGAGTACCTCGAGGTGGCCAGAGAGAATGTCTGTCACATGGGCAGGCTCAGGTCAGTCACCTTCCTAGAGCAGGAGAGAGTTTCCCCTACCCCACACTGGCCAAGATCAAGGAGCCAGAGCCCTCCTTGTGCAACATTCACACTCTACTGTGTGTGAATTATCAGAGATTATCCACTCCTATTTCCCTATTTCATGGATGAGAATACTGAGTCCCAGAGAAGGAGACAACAAGAACAGAGCTCATACAGCAATTATACAGGGTGGGCCATGGGGACTCCTCCAACCATGCAAGCATGCCACTTCTTTTTCTTTCTTTCCTCTTTCCTTTCTTTCCTTTTTCTTTGCTCTCTCTTCCTTTCTCTGTTTTTGTTGTTCTTGCTTTCTAGGCCACATGCAGCGGTGCTCAGGGGCGACTCCTGGCTCTGTGCTGGGGGCGGGGATCATTTCTGGTGGTCACTTCTGATGCTGCCCAAGGACCATGTGCTGGCAAGGATCAAACTTGGGTCCCCAGCACACCTGCACCCCAGTGAGACATATCTCCCCCTGCCTGCTGGTTCTTTAATACTGAGCTCAGTTCCTACATCCGAGGGGGGGATACAACTGCCATGGGGTAGGGGATGGGGGACACCAGAATTAATCCCAGTTATGGAATGCAGTGGCAGCAGATAAAGTCCCCCTCATGCTTACATTACGCCTTTGCCAGGTCACGGAATTCTAGTCATTAATCGGTGTCCGGGCTCCCAGGACATTCTAGGCTAAGGCTGCAATGGCTTGGAAGCCCACTTCTCTATAGGAGCCAGGAGGGCTTCCTGTGGGAGGTCACAAAGCAGGGAGACTGACAGGGATGGAAGGCAGGTGTGCCTTCAGGGGCAGGGCTGCTCCAAGAGACAAGACCAACAGATACCAGTGGGGTGAAATCCAGCCCTAAATTTGTCACGCCCTGGAGTGTGTGAGTGTGTGTGTGTTTCATCCCGCAAGAACCCACCCGGTTAGCAGCAGCAGTTGCAGAGAGAGAGAGAGAGAGAGAGAGAGAGAGAGAGAGAATATGTCTCACCCCGCAACCCACCCGGCAAGCAGCAACAGTCTGACCCTCCAAGTCACTGGACTGGCCAGTTCAACGACCACGCCAGCAGCAACTTCCTGCCCCGCGTCCCGTCCCGCAGCCAGGCCCCAGCTCCGCAGGCTCGGGTGACGGCAGCAGACGGCATCCCCCGGGGGTCGAGAGCGACCCCTCCCCCCCCCCACCGCCACCACCGGGTGGGCCGGTGCCCCGCGGCCTGCGCCCCTCGCCCGGACGCGTACCGTCTGCTCTGCGGCGCGCATTCCCGCGGCGGCCGCCGTGCGCGCGCGCTCCCCGGGGCCCGGCAAGCTGGCATCTTTGTTGCCATAACAAACTCAATTGTTCTCAGCAGGGCCCCGGCAAATAAAGTCATTCATTACAGGCCTCTCCGGCCGCCCAGGGCTGCGCGGCAATCAGCGGGCCGCCGGCCGCCCCCCGCGCGGGCCGAGACACGCGCCAGCACCATTACCTGCCGGGGCCCGGACCCCGGCGCAGCGGCGCGGGCGGGGGCAGCGCGGGGCCGCCGATTAGTTTTATCTCCGAACGTCAATTGACTTATACTGATTGGCTTCCTGCCGCCAAATGTCAATTAAATTGCAAATGCCTAGCGGAGGCCCGGCCGGCCGCCTCCTTCCCGAGGGCGCCGCGCGTTCCCAGCCTGTTTTGCCTTTTTCTTTTTTCTTTCTTTCTTTTTTTTTTTTCTTTTTTTAATCGCCGTGTTCTGACGCGAGTCCACGGCTGTTTTTTCCTTCCCTGTTGCGCACCGAAATCCAGATCCCACCGCCCCGCACCGATGGCCCTGCGCGCGCGAGGGCGCAGGACGCTCCCCCATGGGCTGGGTGCGCGAGCGGGGCCGCGCGGCCTCGTCGCTCAGCCCCGCCCCAACCCCGGGGAGGCTCTTGGAGGGGTTCGACTGGCACCGAGGAAACCCCGGGAAAGCCTCAGGGTTCTTCCGATACGACTCCTGGTGCGCGCGGCGCTCGGCTCGAGCTTGGCTTTCGTCCCTGGCCTAGCGGGCTTGAAGGAGCCGAGGGAGATTGTGTCGTGCGTCTTGGCACACAAAGCGCGCAGGATCTACGGGGGTGCCTGAGGTTCACCCACCGCTGGCTCTGGGAGGTGTCTGTGAACATAGTCTCATCTGCGAAACCGACCTCCGTTGCCGATGTTCTCTTTTTATCTAGGATTATTTAATTTTTATTCTTCTAATTACCCGTTCTCAGGCATGAAAAGCGAGACCTGGGTAAGAGCAAGGATCCGAGGTCCCCCACCTAGGAGCAGCCCCTTCATTTCAGAGATGTCTAAAGTCTAAAGGCCCTCCCGTTGATCATCGATTTGCTCGAGCAGGCCCAGTAACGTCTCCATTGGAGACTTTGTTGTTACTGTGTCTGGCATATCGAATACTCTCGGTAGCTTGGGCTCTCTGAGAGGGGCGGAGGAATCGAACTCGGATCGGCCATGTTGGCTGCGTGCAAGGCAGACGCCCTACCCGCTGTGCTACGGCTCCCCCAAATTAAGAAGCCCAGGGCTTCAGGATGGTGTCCTGCATGCTTAGTAGGGAAATTAGAAAGTGAAAAGGCCAAGGACCAACCTAAGTCCTACCCACTGCCAGCCAGGAACTGTAAGAGGTGTTGAAAGCCCCCACAGTCTAGTGTCAGCGTTCCCCATTTTACCAGCGGGAAACCAGCCCTTGAAAAAGTTCAAAGCATTTTCTTGGGTCACCCGAAGGCCAAGACCCCGCCTAGAAGGTCCCTCTTCATCTGCTGCCCTCTTTCTGGACCACGACGCACTGGCTCACGCAGCTTCTGTGTGAATTTGCACTGGGCTTCGAGGGCGGTACTCATCCTCTTTGTCAATAAGGCAAAAGAGGTCCCGAGCGCTTACCATGATCCCCCGCCCTCCCCCTTGTGCCCCAATCCAGGGCCTTGAGCCCAGTGTGGATGAGGCAAGCACACAAGCCCCACACTGCAGACTCAGCTCCGTCCCCTCCGGCGGCCGGCCGCTGAGAGCCGGAAAGAGCGGGACAATGCAACGGGCACAGGAAGCCAGGAAAGACAAAACCCCACCCATACCCCTGCTGGGGACACTGTGCATTAGATCCCCTCCCCAAAGAGACTTTTCCCTCCCTTGATCCCCTGGACCCCCCCCCCCCCCATGTGGGCCTGCTTCTGTCCACCTCCTTAAAGTCTTGGGAGAGAGATATGCAGGTTCTTAACTGATCAAATGTGGCAGCGTTTAAAAGATACAAACCTGACCAATCGTCCTTTTCAGAACAGAGTTGTTAGCAGAACAAAAGTACCATTCAAAGGTGCAGGCTGGCATTTATGTCTCCAACAGAAAGGAAAGGAAGAGGGAGCAGACGAGGGGGATGGAGGGGGGATGGCCGGCAGACTGCAGGGAGGAGGAGGGAGGCCCGGGACCTGGAAGGGTGTCCAGGTTCACCGCCACCAAATCTGGGACCCAGAAGGCAGGAATCTGCCTGCAATCACACAGGAAGCGTGTGGTCGGACTGGGGCCCCAGGGAACCCAGGCTCGCCCCCTCTGGCCTCACTCCACTCTCTCCACTGCCCACTGCCCCCCTCTCCAATGTGAATTACTGGCTCCTGACACGGGAGCTTAAATTCTACCCCTGTGAATCCTGATGTGTGAATAATCCGATCATTAGGCTTAGCAACAGAACTAAAATCATCATTTGAAAAGACGGAGCTAGAAAACAAAAGAACTAGAACATCAGAACAATTCTCATCAAAGGGAGAAATTCCTTCTTCACGAAAAAGGTTCAGATCATGGACATTACAGCTGATGTTTGAGAACATGCCACGTCCCCATGCTAGGGATAGCACAGGGGCTAAGATGCAGGCCTTGCATGTGGCCAACCCAAGTTGGATTCCCAGAACCTCAAGGTCCCCCAACAAGCACCACTGGGTACATCCCTTGGCTCCCTCAGAACCCTGGGGAGGGCCGTCCACACATCCCCAGCCCATTCAATCAAGAAGGACTAGGAGCTTTGAGCATCACCCTGGAAGCCCTGGAGATAAGGAACAAAATAGCATGGCATGGGGAGGGGGGAAGGGAGGGCAGAGGGGAATGATTTAATTGCCAGTAAAGCAGGAATATATTAACCCTTTTTGAGCCAAGGAAACAGAAGCGCAAGGAAGCCAGGTTCTCAGCATCCACACAGTTAGATAATGGAAGGACTGTGCTTGAAGTCCAGCCCCCACCATGCTCGCTGCCCTGCAGGGGTTGTAAGTCCATGCACACACACACCCACACACCCACGCACGTACAATCCATCAGCCAGCTGCACTTGGGATACCTGAATACTGAAGCAGGCTCTGAGCCAAGGTCCCCCTGAGCTCAGCCTGGCAGGACGAAGGGGACAGCAGAACTGGAAGAGAAAAAAAAAGTGGAATTGAAGCCCTCTGTTGGAATGAGCTGGGGATGCTTCCGTGGCGTCCTGCTGTGGTAACACGGAATGGGGAGTGCAGGGCAAGGCTTGGGACCAAAGAGCCAACATCCTGGGTGCCAGTCTCAACAATGCCACCAAGGCAACGATCTCTCTGAGTCTCTGTAAAACCTGGAGGTCTTACAGATTCCCCCCACCCCAACCCCACCTCCCAGCCCCACCAGGAATAATCCCTGAGCACAGAGCCAGGAGTAAGCCCTGAGCACTGCTGAATGGAGCCCAAAAAGGGGGGAGGGATGACAAGCTCAAAGGGCTCAGGCTCTGCATTCCAGCCCTGCACCACAGGGTCCCCTGAGCACTGACAGGAGTGGCCCCAGCACTGAGTTGGGAGACTCCCCTAAGCACCACTGGAAGAAGACTCCAAAATCAAAATGAAACGGGGATGATGAGAGAGTGCCCATGGTACAATGAGTATTGATATATTCACAATTAGGATATTAATAATATTAATTATATTGTTGATGTATATTAATAAATGTCAATAATATATTAATTAAAATATAACAGAGACCATGGACACTCTAAGAGTCACAGCTGTGTGTCTCAGAGCTGTTTGGAGTCATGAGCTATACACACTGGGCACACATGAGACTGGTCCCAGCAGGCCTTTCTCTGCCTATGCATGCATGAGCCTGTGCACGTGCATGTGTATATATGCCCGTGTACATATGCCTGTGTGTGCGTGAGCCACGTGTGAACCTGTGTATATGTGCCTGTGTAAGTGTGTGAGTATGAATGTGCATGTGTCAAGGTATATGAGGCGTGAGTGAGCATCCCCTCCCACACTAGAATGGCTCATGAGATCCTTTTCTCTGAGGTCGACAATGGCCATGGAGGCTTGGGGATCAGGGCGCAGTGGGGAGACAGGACCAATAGGACTCCCGCACCCATAGACTGGATTGGCTTCAAGCATCCAACCCAGTAGAGAGGTGTGACATGGCCCCAGACCCGGGCAGGCTCCAGGGTGACAACGGGGAATACTACAGACACGGCACCCACCCGCGGGACTCACAGTCTCACTGTGAGAAGATGCTGACAAATGTGGTATCTGCATCCACAGGCAGGGTTTGTGCCACAGGGCTAGGCTCGAGGAAGCACCCACTTGAGGAGTCCTGACAGCTGGGCTGTTGCCGGGCTGTTGCCAAGTACACGGCCGGCCGAGAAGGGAACAGCCTCCGAGGATGGAGCAGTTCTGCCTTGTCGGTTCTCCGGGCACTCGCCACAGCTGCCTCTTACAGCCCACACAAGGACCCACTGCGGGCACGGGCGCACAAAGGGCAGCTGAGACTCAGGGAGGCAGCAGGCCTGGCCCTGACTCACACACACACACACACACACACACACACACACACACACACACGTGCGCAGTGGCAGCAGCGGCACCAGAGCGCCTGGCTTCTGCTATCTATGCATGTCGCAAGAAAGAACAAGCAGTGTTGGAGGAACAGAAGGAGGTGGGTGTGACAGGCGAGCGAGAGCAGAATGCCGCTGATCACTCTGGAGAAGTCTGCAGAGCTCCTGAGCTCCCAGACCCAGATGGAAGCTTGCAAGCACCCAGTAGAGTTGGTGGCAGAGGACTCCGAAGGTGTTTCAGAAGCACCTCTGGGGCTGCTCTGGGGAAGCAGGACCGTCTGGAGGCTGTCAGGGACTGCGGTGGTGGAGACCGGGCTAGTATCTGAGAAAAGGTACTTGAGTGAAAGCAGAGGCAGTGGGATAGGAAGAGATGAGCAGATGCAAAGACTGAGGACCTCTTGAGCTTGAGCAAACACCTGCCAAAGGCCTTTATTTGTGGTTATTTGTGGTCAAAGGAAGAGGACACGCAGTTTTCACTGCAGGGGTGCTTCTGCTTAACCGAATTTCGAAAGGAAATGCCACAAATCAACCTCTCCCTCACCTCCAAACCAGAAAAGATCTAAAAGCATTTTCCAACCGTGTGTGTGTTGGTGCATGTGTGTGCGTCCATACTCTGGTTTGGGGGCCACAGCTGGCTATATTCAGGGCTTACTCCTGGCTCTGTCTCAGCGATCACTCCCAGCAGTGCACAGGGGGTCATTTGTGGTGCCGGGAATCAAACCTAGATTGCCTTTGTTCAAGGCAAGTGCCCAAACCCTTGTACTATCTCTCCAGCCCCATCTTGTCATTTTTTACAAAAGGCCTGTTTCAATACACCCACAGGTGAGAAATGATCTGACCAAGGTCACACGGCTGAAACAGGAACATCCTGAATCCAATTCCAGGTCCAGGGCTAGACAGAGACCCCCAAAATTATCTGTTCAAAGTTACATAAATCATCCATTCAAGGCTCCGTATTGCAACGGGAGGAAAACAGGTAGAGAGAAGTGACTTGCCCAAGGTCACACAGCTACTACCCTAAAGTCCAGAAGTACTTGTCTCAGAAACTTTGTATCAACACATCCCCGCCCTAGAGGTGAAGGATTCCAGTGCTCCAGCCTCCCAGAACCCTGGCCAAGTGCTGGCAGAGAAAGGGGGCTACAGTGCATGTTCCCCCAGCTCCTGAGTTACTAGCACAACAGGCTTGCAAATGACCAGAAGGTGGGCCTGCGCCCCCTCTCCTCCCTAACTAGCCGACAGCAACTAAGCTGTCTTGGGTTAATGGTGCCACCTGGTGGCTGGTGCTAAGAAATGTCTGACCCCATTCCCCATCCCCACCCCCATCCCCTGGTTACTTTTCCTCCTAGTAGTCCTGCTTTTCCTCCTATAGTCTCTGCAGGGGCTGGGCTTTCTCTTTCTTCTCAGTTCATTTCACTACCAGCCATCTCTTTCTCACACCTGGCTTCTTGGAAGGTATTTCAGACCCACTCTGTCAAGGCTCAAAACTCAAAATCACCGTAGGACATTCTCTTTTTCTGCTTCCCCATGTCAGTCCATGAGACCCAGGAATTCATGCAAATGCTAAAAGTGTGCCAAATGAAAAGTGAAGACGGGAGTATTCAAGGTGAAATTAGACACACACACACACACACACACACACACACACACACACACAGTGAGCAACCACTGGCATTTAGAGAAACACCCAACATTCCCTACAGAATCAGAAGCAAAATATGCTCTTTCTTGGTTGTCTCTAAGGACTCACATCCGCCTTTGCCCTGAAATACCACGGTGATTTTTTGGTTTAATTCCTACTAACATTTCCTGGTTCCCTCCATACACACCCCCAAACACACATACACACACACACACCAGGATGGGGGGCTTCAGAACATGCACCCCGGTGCAAAGGTGAGCTGGGACAGGGAATACTCGTGTCCCCGAAGGCCCCAAGGCTCCTGGGGAGCTCTGGGAAGCTGCCAAGGGGGGTTCCGCCTCAGTATACAGCCAGAGCCTGGGAACAGGGAGCACGGGGGTAGGGGGGCGTGGGCAGGGGGGCTGCCTGCTCCTGCAGGGGCTCCTGCAGGGGCTCCTGCTTGGGAGCAGTGTAGGAAGCAACAGACATTGCAGCTAAAGCAGGATGTCCAGAGTCTGACTTGGCTTGTCCCTCCATCCCCAGCTCAAAGACCTGCCAAGCTCCCAGTGAACAACCTTCAGGGACTGAGACCTGGAGAAAGTGGCCACATTAAAAAAAAAATGAAACCACTTTACCACTCTTCCTGTGTGAGTGGTAAAGGCTCAGAGCCTGCCGTGCTCTGAAGCACAGATTCTCAAAGGCTACAGTATGCAGGGATCTCCAAGACCCCATCAAGGAGTCTGTGAGCCCAAAGTTGGAAAATCACAGCAAGATGAGGGCAGGAAGACAGGACAGAGGTGAAGGCTCTCACTTTATATACAGCACCCTATAGTTTCCCGAGCACTGCCAGGCGAGCATCACTGGGTATGGACTCCCTCCCCAAAATAATAGCCAATGAACTTACTCCCACTTGCTCTCAATAACCCAGTAGCCTCTGGCCAGGGCTGTGCGGAGTGAGTTCTCCCACGAGCATCCCACTGTCCTGTCCAGCCACATACCAAAGCCATGAGCAAAGTCACAAAGCCATGAAACTCTGATTCAAGGATTCGGTGTGAAATATCTGAGTCTTTCCTAAATAAAATATTATTTAGGAAATCTGTCAATGGCTGCTGTTTGTAGTAGCACTGTAGTACTGTTCTCCTGTTGTTCATCGATTTGCTCAAGCGGGCACCAGTAATGTCTCCATTGTGAGACTTGTTACTATTTTTGGCATATCCAATACGTGACTGTTAGCTTGCCAGTCTTTGCCATGTGGGCGGAATATTCTCCGTAGCTTGCCGGGCTCTCCGGGAGGGGCGGAGGAATCGACCCCAGGTCAGCCTTGTGCAAGGCAAACACCCTACCCATTCACTATTTATCGCTCCGGCCCAGCATTCTAATTAACTCACATAAATTTTTTTTAAAAGGCTCCTGGTGTTTGAGAACCACTAGTGGCCTAAACGAATACCAAGGTTTCAGAGGGACGCCAATGCCCAGAAATTTGAAGAAACCCTGGGAATTCCTTGAGCAAAATCACATTGGATTTTGTAGGGTTTTTTAATTTTTTGAGTCACACTGATTATACTCAGGGCTTACTCGTGGCTCTGCGCTCAGGAATCACTCCTGGCAGTGCTCGGGGGGAACATATGGAGTACCAGGGATTGAACCCCGGTCAGCTGAGGACAAGGCAAACAATCTGCCAGTTGTGTTGATTCTCTGGCTCTTGGTCCCATATTTCTTTTCTTCTCTCTTTTTATTTTTGCTTTTGGGGTCACACCTGGTGATGCACAGGGGTTACTCCTGGCTCTGCACTCAGGAATTACTCCTGGCAGTGCTCAGGGATACTGAGAATCGAACCCAGGTCGGCCGCGTACAAGGCAAATGCCCTACCCACTGTGCTACCTCTCCAGCCCGAGAATATAACTAAGGTCCAAAGAGAGGAAGGGATTTTCCCTGAGTTACCAACAATAGG